ATCATTGAGGCCGGCTAGATCAGGCATGATCACAGCCGTAACAAGTACAGTACAAGTACATCATAATAAACTTATGTATAAAAACAAGAGGTCTTCAGCTGCTTTTTCGCGAGTAAATTGCATAGCCTGAAGACGTCATTTTAATCTACTACAGTTGTCCAACATCACTGTTCTTTGTAGTGTAGAAACGGACATCTGCGTAGCGGAATTATATTTTGAGCTGAGAATTCAAAAAAAACCGCTCTATATTTGTACGACTAGTTCGGAGAGTGGCACTGATATCGTCGAGTTTATTGTACTGCCACTAACCTGTTGATTGTACTTGTAATATGATTGACAATAGTTCTTAAGACACAGTACGAGCATATCTATAAAGTACTACGTTGTAGCGCCAAGGTTATGTAGGCGTCAACCGCTTTCGGTTGAGGAAAACGAGGCAACACCATCAATCTATAGAATGCCTTCAACGGCACTCACTTGAGATCCTCGGTTAAGCTGAGGAAATGCGTGAATTTTTTGACACTGTACTGCTCTCCAGCAGTTATATGCCTATAGAATTGCTTGGCAAGATTGTAGGTTGGTTTTCCAATGGCTGACACTAAGATTCTTAATAGTGCACTGCGTTTAGGTACCTTTGGGAGGCCATACACATGTGTGGCACAGGATCACGTGATCACTTGTGAATTTCAGTCGAACGAAGTCATTCAGTTCTTCTACACTTACTGTCTTTTTTCGTTTTGCCCAGCGCGTGGGCCGTGGGCTTTCCTGCCACTTAAGATTGAGCTTGCCTTGTTGAGGTAATACATATTTTACTTCATGGCGGTTGCGCCTCTGTCAACAGACATAACCACCATACCGTCATCTGACCTCGGAGGTCGCAGTACTTTATCTTCTTGGATTGGGAGGATTCTGTCGTGCCTCCTTTTACGAAGCAGACCAATAACTAAATATTATTCATTTAGATAGGAGGAAGCTTACTTTGGCGGATATAAAGCTGCCTTTCGAAAAGGCAACAACTCTGTTTCAAATAGGGTAAATGCGAAATGGGCCTTCCTCTTAGAGGCGGACTGACTTCTTCATTCTTACGTTCGTAGTGCTGTCTTTTATTCATTGCACCATATTTTAAGGTAGCAATAAATTACCCAGAATTCCATGATAAAACTATTGCTTCGAATATGGAAAAACGGCTGTGAATGCCCGATATAACGATTGTGACAGCAGGGGATAAAATGCAAATGCTTGAAAGTATTAAGAAGGCTTGCGTGGTTGTGTTCATACCTTGCGGCAGAAGATGAATCGGTCAATTGTGAGAGCAAAGAATTTCACACAATGTGAACACCGCATGGCAACCAATTGCGCACGAGTCAGACCTGCAACCAGGCATAGGCAAATTTGGAAATGGTTTCCAATTACAAGAATGTGACTCGGGTTGCATGTATTTGGAGTTACCAGTAGATAAAACTGACCTCAAAACGTTTGCTCTGGCGTTGAAAAAGGCAATAGGCTCCCTCCACATCGCCCCTTCCATTTGTTACCAATATCTCGCTTAGTGAATGCTGTCGCTATACATCGCTAACCTGGCATGTAGACTTCGGATCCCAAACCAAAACGGAAATTTCATTTGCTACCCTACAACCATGCTACGCCAGGAAACGTCAGTTTTTCGTTACTTATAGCATTTCCGTTCGCAGCTTACAGAACGCGAACCTGTAGCTCAGAAGGCCAGATCATTTTGTTTACATTACCAATTGCCGATCCAGCCCTGCACTCAGCTCTTAGTAAACTCGAAATTGCCGTGTCCACCATTCTTGTTTTTTGTCTGCCTTAATTTAGCCCCTAGAATGGCATTCATAATAGTAGGTTCAAGCTTTGCAATTAAAGGTGGCTTCTAGCTGTGGCACAATGATCAGCATTTGGAATTCATTTTTCCTGAAATTAGCGTTCCATAAAACGCAGGGGTGTATTAGAGGAGAAGAAAGACATGTCACGTAAATACTTTGGCCAGGCTTTACGAAATCGTGTTTTTTTTAAGCGGAGTCGTTTCGTTGCTAATTTTACTGCCGGTAATATTGTCACTTATATGTTTGTTTTTTTTTC